CTGGCGGTTGCGAGTGTCTGCCAGACGAGTATATAATATAATAATAGTCATGATGGGAGTGCGAGCGCAACAGACTATACGGGTTCCAATGTCATGTCAGAATGAGAGGATACGATATGACTACTAAGTATATTATATTTTCAATTTTCACCAAACTAGCAATAAATAAGCATTTCCGAGTTATGACGTAGTAAATCAGAACTTCAGAGTTGTGACGTCAGAACTATGAACTAAGAACTCGGAAGGCAGATTGCACGACCGGGCTTCCGTACATTCCTTCCTATAACGTGTGATTGTGAACTAATATTAGGCGAGTTCGGGTAATCCTTCGCTAGTTAAAAGATGACATCATTGACGGAAGCTCACGTGAGCTTCCATTTGAAGTCATAGAAGATCAAGAACGATAAACCATAAGACGATAGTCGCTTTCCGTAAGCGCCACGTTCGCCAACCGCATAGGTTAACGACCAGACGCGTGACGTACTCCGGCCCATCGATCCAAAGATTTGGTATTAGTTACATTGCTCGACATTCCTCTGTAATGAAAATTCGAGAAGTTTAATATAAAACTTGTCGAAATTTATTGCATTAAAAGCCTATTTTGGCATTGGTACATCATTAAATGGCTAAACCCAATGTTGTTTGAGAGAGGCCGGTTGCCTGACAGCTTCATAACGTCATCCGGGGTGCCTCAACACAATGCAAATCTCCATAGGGCTCCCCAGACGCGTCATCAGGCCACCCATCACAAGGCAACCAATAAACCTCAGGAACCTTGGGTTAAACCATATTTTCCTCCTATAGCAATAACAATAACGCATAAAACTGGTTTCGAGTGAGCCAGGTGACGTCCCTAGAGTAGCGCGTGCCCCCACTAAACTGGCGGAAAAATATCACCAATGTAACCATTCTCTGTGGTTTATCGTTCTTGATTAAAGATCACCTGAGCTCTATCCAAGGTTCCTAAAGTTGATAGGTTGTCCGGCAATGGGCAACCTGACGACGCATCTGGGGTGCCCTATGGAGATTTGCATTATGTTTAAGCATCTTAAATGACGTCATGCAGCCATCCAGGCAACCTGCCTCTCTCAATAATAACCTTGAGGTCTATCGTCTTTTTGCTGGCGCAGGATTAACAGAACTCGCCTATTCTATAGTCGATTAAAGGCGATTAACCATTCGGTTATATTGACAGATGAACAATGCATTTAATGTCATTTATAACCGATTGGTTGACAAATGACGTTTGCTTCATTGGTTATCTGTCAACTATGACCGACCGGTTAATCGCCTTTAATCGATGTATATAAACGCGATGACGCGTTACCAACGGAATGTGCGCGCGCACGCGTATTTGTAATTTCTGGAGCCCTATTTCAAATCATTGTGAATGTGCCTCTGGTCCCTCTTGCGAATTTTCCGCTTACAGTGCCGTATCTTTATGCCATTTTGGTAGGGTGACCATATTTTTTTTGTATGAATGCTGTACAGGGTTATTGGTTATAAATGTCACCCCCCTCTATCTTTTTTATTTGACATTTTAGAAAAAAGTGTCCCAAATAAAAGTTTTATGGTTGAAATTAAATTTTTTGAAAAACTCACTTTTGCATATACTTTCCAGAAAAGCTGGTCGTGCTCCAAGTTTCTTATTTTAAATAGAACACCCTGTATATTATTGGATATTCGGATTTTACATAAAATTCTGAGCAGATTTCATTTGATATACCCTATACCTAAGTTCAACTGTTTTGGAAATATTGACAGTTGAAAATTGACTTTTCTGCAACTTTGACAGGCTGTAGATTGTAGATTTCAGGGGAGTCGTTTCGGCTTTTCAGCCGCTCAGCACTTCTACCTTTGCAGATATTTTGTGCGAGACTCTGCATCTTAATTTGTCCCAGGAAGCGTAGACTTCTGCCGAAGGAAGCTATTTTCCTGGGTGTCAGTTGGCCCACTTCTTCTGGTGACAGTGTTGCCCCCTCGAGGAATTTGAGCCTCTTGCAGAATTGGGCTGGACATTCGCAGAACAGGTGCTCTGCGGTTTCTATTGCGTCTGAGCAGAATCTGCAGAGATCGTCTTCCGCTCTGCCCATTAACCTTAAATGGTATTTTACTGGGCAGTGTCCTGTGAGCAGTCCCACCACCAATCTGATGTCTGGTCTGCTCATGTTTAGGAGCTGTTCAGCTCTTTTTGCTGAAAGGATAATAAACCTTTTTGACTGTCTTTGACAGGCTGTAAAACCTAAACGGTTAATTTTAGAGCAAAACCGATCTTACATTTTTTTCTTAGATTTTCATAAGCTTTGACACCAACTTTGAATTTAACCGGAGATTAAATTAAATCGGAATTTCCAATCATGGATTAAATTCGAAGTTGGTATGTCAAATATCAGTGTCAACTGATAGTTTATGAAAATCTAAGATAAAAAAGTAAGATCGGTTTGGCTCTAAAATTAACCGTTTAGGTTTTACAGCCTGTCAAAGTTGCAAAAAAACCTATTTTCAACTGTCAATATTTCCAAAACAGTTGAACTTAGGTATAGGGTATATCACATGAAATCTGTTCAGAATTTTATGTAGAATCCGTATATTCAATAATATACAGGGTATTCCATTTAAAATAAGAAAGTTGGAGCACGATTAGCTTTTCTGAAACACCCTGTATATACGAAAGTGAGTTTTTCAAAAAAAATTATTTCAACCATAAAACTTTTATTTGAGACACTTTTTTCTAAAATGTCAAATAAAAAAGATAGAGGGGGGTGACATTTATAACCAATAACCCTGTACACATCTAAAATATTGGGACGGGGGAGTGGAGAAAAGAACTAATGCAAATTTTAAAAAAATAAAAAAATTGAAGACAAACATAATAGGTCTGTTCGCACAGAAATCACAAACCAGTCAGAGTGAATTTCATTGGTTGAAAACCTTAATGATTGAAACCAAGGTTATTTGAAAGAGGTAGGTTGGCTGATCACTTTTATGACGTCATCTGGATGCCTAAACATAATGAAAATCTCCATTAGATCTTCCTGATGACGTCATCTGTTTACCATTACCCATTACCAGACAACCTATTAACTTTAGGAACCTTGGGTTGAAACTATGTAGTTTTCTGCTGACTGTTTCTGACTATTTGCAACCAATGAAATTCGCGCTGACTGGTTTGTAATTGCTGCAGAAACAGACCTACTATGCTGTGTCTTCTTCTTAGCAGCGTGAAATAGGGAGAGATAAAAAAGGTAGTTAGCATTAAAATTAAAACTCTGGGAGATGATGGCGTAAATGACGTAAATCGCAAATGTAGAAATGTCGTTAGTTATTGACGGACAATTTTTCGTACATTTTTTTTAGGAAAAACTTAGGAGTAAGGCCGGATCCGAATCGCTGTACTTTTGCTGTACAAAATCAAATGCTGGACAGACTTTGAAAATGCTGTACAATACAGCGAAATGCTGTACGTATGGTCACCCTACATTTTGGTAACGGGTCTTCATAAAAAAACTAAATCAGAGAGTGCTTTGATTACAAAAACATATAGTCTGTCGATTTTAATCTGATAATCCAAAGGAATGTGAGCTGGTAGCTTTCTACATTAGAACGCCAATGGTTAACTGACGCTTGTTTTTGCCTTATGAAACATCTCCTCGCTCCTCATACGGAAAATGTCAGAATAAAAACGACGGACTTTACGTCGCATTATTATTTCTTTATTGGTCGAGATTTTTGACCAAGTTTTCGACATTACAAAATGCAATGACAAAATTGAAGAAAAATATTGCTGAGACATACGTTTAAAAAACCCGAGAAAAAAAACATAGCCATCTCTGATTTTTTTCTTTGAAGACCCATTACAATTGACAAAAGATTAATTTCTTCTATCATAATAAAAATTCCAGAAAAATTCAAAAATAATGTTTTAAAAATATTTTGTCATTTTTCAAATTGACAGTAATTTATTTCACTAATGAAATAAAGTGCACTTTAATGTACTAGTAGGTACCTTCTATATAAAAACTACTTATAAAATCAAGTTAGAAATGATGTTAAGGGGTTTTAGTAATTTTGGTAAATGTCCTTCCGTCGTGTACGTGTGCATGCGTTTGTCGCTCCTTCACTGAATAATAATTTTATAAAGTAAAGTAAATTTTTTTTTGTGTTGATGTCATTGTGTTTAGAAAAATGTAAGCTGCTTCTACTCATTAACACAAAAACAGTAAAAACTTTTTTTTTTTTTTTATATTTGAAAAGACCACAAAATCATGGTGTTTACTGTATTGACTACAACAGTAATAATAATATAGTTTTTTTGTACCCATAATAAACACTGCCCTCAAATCCTTATCAGTACCAAAATTCAAATTAAGGAATTTAAAGAATTTGGTTTGTTTACTTTCAAAGAGAAAACAAATTGGGACTGAATAAATGGGATATGGAGTTTTAGCAGCGCCTAACTGGGCGCTTTAGAAATATGGAAGACCTCACCTGCACTCAATGTTTTAAAAAGTGCATTTTGAAGGCACGTCCAACTGAAGATGAACTATTTGGCTCGCCCTGTGATTCATGCAAATTAATATTTTGTAAAGTTTGTGCAGAATTGAAAACCACTGAAGCTCACACTCTCGCTTTAACAGAGAGAAGTTTGCTTTTTTATTGCAATGGATGTAAGGAAACTTTCAGAAACATGTGCATGAGTCAGGAAAAGACAGAAGAGCTATTCCAGAAAAATAAGCAATTGAACGAGCTTTTGATTTCAATGGAAAATTACAATGAAGAGACCAGAGTAACCCAGGGAAAGAGGATCGATGAATTAATACAAGTCATTGAAGGCAAAGAAGAGATGATCAAGAGGCTAAGAAGGAAGTCTATTGATTTCCAGGATGACGTATTTGTAGCAGAAGAGTCCGCGGAGGAAAGAATAAAACAACAAAATAATATTATTAACGACCTAGAGGTGAAGCTACAGCAAATAAGACAAGATTTTAAAGCTGAACAAGAAAAGTCCGACGAACTCACTGAAACAATCCAGAGGATGGAAAGGGAACTGGCTAGTCAGAAGAAGGAACAGCGAAGATATGAGGAACTTTTAAAGAAATATCAGGATTTGAAAATAAAATTTAAAGAATGTGAGAGGAAGTTAGATGTTTTAAAGAATAAAAATCAAAGTAGTAAGATAAACATGCAGAGGGACGCCAGGGACAGGGAAGAGAAAATGAAGAATAAGGAGACTCATGTGGGAAAAGATCAACTTAACGATAATGTGTCAAATGTGATTAGAGTGGAAGAGGCTGAACGTTTAAGGAGAGAAATTGTGGATAAAAGTGAGACCATTGAGAGTATAAAAAAACAAATGCATATATTAGAATTAAATTGTAATGGACATGAGATAAAGTTAAGGAACTATGAGGAAGATATTGAAATAAAGAGGAAGGAAGTGGAAGATCAGAATACAATCAATAGAGAGTTAGTAAACACAATCCGGATATTTGAAACTGACAATGCAATTTATGAAAAAGAGTTATATGATATGCGCCAACAGATAAATGAAATGAAAGAAGAATTGCGGAACTCTGTAGGTGTCAAAAATAGGAATAATAGCGGTTCTAGTAGTAGGAAAGATGAGATAGTTATAGTGGAAAATGAGAATGATAGTGGTCCTAGTAATAAGAAAAATAAGAAGATAGTTGTAGAAAATAAGAATCGTAGTTTGCCTAGTATAAAGAAAAATAAGTTAGTTGTTTTGACAGATGATTTTGGTAAATATTTGTGGGAATACTTGAACAGAGTTTTGGGGAATAGGTTTGTAATTCAGATAGTTTCTAAGCCATTTGCAAGATTAACGGATGTTGTTGCTGGTGCCGAATGCTATATTAAAGATCTGACAAGTGCTGATTATGTAATTCTGGTAGCGGGTGTGAACAATCTGGATGTAGGATGCAGAGATTACGTCGTGCTTGCAAATAAATGCTTTCAAACCAATTTACTTCTATTCCGTTAAAAAGCGATCTATCAAGTAAAGTAAATATTTTGTCTCATATAAACAAAAAAATCCAGTACGTAGCGGAACGATTGAAACAATATTCTGCCAATATAGACATATTAGTAGATCACTCCAGTGATTATCTCGTTGGCGATGTCACTGAGCAGGGAATATATCTGAGTAGATATGGTCTTGATAGATTTTCAAGTAGAATAAAAGAAGGAATAGATAATTTTGGTCTTCATAGGAATACAAATTTGAAATTTATAGAGTTTAATAATGAAGAACCTGAAGTAACTATAAATTTGACTACTTGTGGGGCCGATCAGCAGTCTGAGCGGGCTTTTTTATAGATAGGTTTAATAAACGATGCAGCAATGAAAGGCTGTCGCGGAGTAAGGGTAAGAATATTAAGAGTAAGGATACAGAATGTGATCTTCTGTATCTTAATTCAAGTAGTACAATTGCTAATTTTGATCAGATCCATGCCCTAGTTCTGGACTTGGATCCTAAAATTATTTTTTTATCTGAATCACATTTGACTGAAGAAATTGAAGATGATGAAGTCAGTATAGATGGATATAGATTGGTGAGACTAGACAGTTCAAGCCGATCGACAGGTGGTGTACAAATTTATTTAAAGAACTTTATTAAAATATTATCAATAAGCAGAGTTAAGTTTGAAAAGAAGTATTGGGTATTAGGAGTTAAGATAGAAGTTAGTAACAAAAACTTGTATGTAGTTTGTCTATATCGATCTCCGAGCTGTAGTGAGAAGGATTTTTTGAATTTTTTTGAAGAATGGAGTCATGATTCTGTATGTGATAATAACATACCAACTGTAATACTGGGAGATTTTAATATTGACATGTTGAAGCCAGATAATACATATACGCAGCGTCTTACTAATATCTCACATGATATAGGATTCCAACAACAAATTAAGGAAATAACAAGGCCAAATAGAGACGGTGGTACATGTATTGATTTGTTGTTTACAAACTATCTGGATCTGATTCCTAAAGTAAAACATGCCCCCAGAGTGAGTGATCATTATTATATATGTGTCAATGGTGCAATATTGCAATCACAGAATAAGATTCCACATTTTATTTCGACTAGAGGGAAAAATATAAATTATGATTTAATTAGGGAGAACCTAAAATTGGTTGATTGGCACTTTAATATAAATAATATAGATGATAAGTGTAAGTTCTTTGTGTCAACAGTTTATCGGGCCTTGAATACTATAGCACCATTAAAACAGGTTAAAATTTTACCACGATATAAACCATGGTGGAATGAAAATGTCAAAAAAGCAGCAGAACTAAGGGATAAAAGTTATAAGATTTACAAATTGCTCAAGAGTGAAGATGCACATAGATCTTATAGAGATAAGCGAAATCAAGTAGTTAAAACTATCAAAGAAGAGAAAATAAAGTACTATGAGCAAAAAGTGGATGGATGTAAACGGGATCCTAGGGCAATGTGGAATGTATTGGGAGAGATTTTACCAAAGAAAAATCATGCAAACATTGATAAAATAGAGATGGAAGGAGAAATAATAATGGATAAAAACAGTCTGCCTGAAAGACTAAACAGATTTTATGTAGACAGCATAGATTCCATAATTGAACAAATTAAACCTGATTCAGGGAATATGGATACCTTGAGTGACTTCACAAAAAATAATGCAGACTTTAGCTCGTTCAGATTAATAGATTCTGATTCCCTGTTTAAAATTGTTATGTCATTGAAAAACAAAAATAGTCCCGATGACTTGAATGTAACATTAATAAGGAATATATATCCGTCTCTTGAAGCACCCCTGATTAATTTAATAAATAGTTCACTGGAACAAGGAAAGTTTCCAGATCCTCTAAAGCTCGCTACAATAATACCAGTTCAAAAAAAACTTAACTCAATAGAAGCATCTAATTTTCGACCCATTAATACACTTCCTTTCATCGAGAAAATAATTGAAAAAGTTGTATATGATCAGCTTCTCGAATTTTTAAACACACATAATACTATAACAGAGAAGCAGTCAGGCTTCAGAAATGGTCACAGCTGTGAAACTGCAATACAGTACATTCTGGATGAATTTAAAATAAAATATGACCAGGGTTTCAATGTACTAGCGGTTTTTCTGGACTTACAGAGAGCCTTTGAGACGGTCGATCGGCACAGATTACTTAAGAAACTAGAAAAAATTGGAATTGGGGATGTGGTGTTGAGATGGTTTGGAGACTATCTAACATCAAGAAGACAATTAACTAGACTGAATGGAATTAGTTCAATAGAGATAGTTAACGAGCATGGTGTACCGCAGGGAAGTGTTTTGGGTCCACTATTGTTCATTATTTATATAAACGATCTGCCAGATGTAATACATGACATTGAATTGCATAACTTCGCCGATGATAGTCTATTCTACGCCTTTTCAAAAGATTTGGATTTGTTGGTGGAAACTGTTAATAATGCCCTAAATAAAATGGACAATTATGCATCAACGAATTTTTTGAAGATTAATGTTAGTAAAACTAAATTTATGTTTATTGGTACACATAATAACAGAATTCTTTTTAATATGAACAACTATTCAATTGAAATGGGTAACAATAAGTTGGAAGAAGTTCAAAAGATTAAGTATCTTGGGGTAATTCTTGATAACAAATTAAAATTTAAAGATCACTGCAACATTCTGGTTTCTAAAATTAGTTTTAAGACAAATTATCTTAGGCGCTGTTCAGCATCTCTCTCAGCTTGTTCTAGAATTGTTGTTTTTAACACTATAGTTTTGCCACACTTCAATTATTGCGCAACAATACTTTATTTACTTAACCAGAATGATATCCAAAGACTGCAAAAGTTGCAAAATAGATGTATGAGAATCATACTCTCATGTAACAAATATACTCCTATAAAAAGTATGCTTAGATTGCTTCAGTGGCTTCCAGTTGTGGAATATGCAAAATATAATGTACTGGTGTTTATTTTTAAAATTAAAATTGGAGTTGCTCCATTGTATCTTACAAGAAAAATAGTTTACAGTGGCCAGATGCATGATCACAACACTAGACAACAGAACAACTTCTATATACCACATAGATGTGGGGCATCAGCAACAAGATCGGTATTCTTTAAGGGTATGAATGAGTTTAATCAGCTACCGGATGAAATAAAGTCATGTGTTACTATTAGCAATTTCAAAAGAAAATTAAAAGTTCATCTGCTGACTCAATGTGATATATACCTATGTTCCAGATTAAAGCACAAATGAGTAGCTTATTCTTGTTGATCTGAGTTTTGTTGATTTGAATTTCTTTTGTTTTGCGGTATCTTGATCTTGTATTTTGTGAAGTGAAAAACGAATGCCATATTTTGTATGAGTTTCGGGACTTGCTTTTTACGAAATTTCAAGATTTATTGTGTCTTTCGGAATGATTGTCATTTGTATTTTGAATTTAAATTTAAATTGTTTACTTTAATTGACACCATACACTAATTATAACTTTTGTGAATTTATATATGTAAGTTGCACGATTAGCTATTGCTAAATAAACGAAATAAATAAATAAAAATAAATGTGTGTAATTTCACTAATTTTAGTAAATGTGTGTAATTTTTTTGTAATTTCAGTAATTTTAGTAAATGTGTGTAATTTTTTTGTAATTTCAGTAATTTTAGTAAATGTGTGTAATTTTCGGTAATTTTGTAAATATCATTAAATATTTTGTAAATATTATTTTGGTGTACACGATTGTTCGGAGTGGTTACCCCCTCGATTACGGCTATATAAAGGCCGCTATTGGTTTGTAGTTTTTAAGTTTAGGTTTGACTGTGATATGAATTAGATAGTGATTATTGATTATTTTAAAGAGTTGTAAAGAGTTTACTTGTTGAGTTAGTAATTAGTGTCAGAGTGTATAGTTACGTGGAATAAAATTATTATTGCTGTTTTAATTGGACTTTGATATAAACCAATAAACCCAAGATTTATGTCACACAACACCACAGAGCCGTGACAATATCATTATTTATTCAATTTTGTTGCCCATTTTTTAGATGCTGTAAATTAAATACAATAAAACATGAAGCATATGAGAACAATCAAAATAAATAAAACGTCGCAAAACAGCTTCATCCCTCATTCATAATCCTTGCAAAATTTCTAAAACTTCGCATCAGGGTTCTGCTTAGTTGGGATTATTTCAAAATACATTAGGTATTTACTGTAAAAAGTATTTTATTCCGACTTCAAACCTAATAAAGTTAAAACTTGATATTAACATTTACTTTTACCATTTTCCGCACCAACATTTTGATAAGCTTCACTTTTGGTATTAGGTAATTTGAAATAAAGATCTCTCAATTCATTTTCTTCCGCTTCTTCTTCAGTATCACTCAAATTCACAAACACCGTTTCATTGTCTTCTAAATTAAAATACAAGCTATCTTGAGTCTCTTCACTATCACTAATACAGTCGCTTAAACATTTTGATTTAATTTGATTTTCAGTAAAAACATTTTCCATTTCTTCCATTTTTTCTTCAATTTGTTTATTTAAACATATTCGATCCATTGGAAAATCACAATAGGCACATAAAATATAGCTCAAATTTTCAATTGCCTTAATATGAGCTAGCGAATTACAGAGTGGACATTTATAGGCAGGGGCTAAGAAAATGGGCATCATTGTGAAAACACAACGTCCATCTGGGTGAGGAGGTAAGCACATGGAACCAATTAGTTTTTCGCCACAATAGCTGCATTGAATCATGTCAGGGTATTTCAACTCATTGGCAACTTGTAAAATATTTGAGATTTCTTCAATGAATGTTGCCCCTACCTGGGCTTTAGGTAAAACACCATTTGAAATTATTTCTTTCAGAAAGAATACTTGTAAATCAAGACTTCTTAATTCAAAAGTAGTTAATTGTTTCCCTTGTGATTTTTCTTTGAACAATTGAGACAGCCTTTGTATTATCAACTTAATGGTAACTAAATATTGATAGAAAATAAATGGTTTAATATTATATGAAGTTACCCTTTTTACTACAACAAAAACACTTTCAGAAAGTTGGGCAATGAGTCGGAAAGTTTTCAGTTGAAGTAGTGATAAATTATCCAATTCCAAATCACTATCTAATCCTAGCCAAGGAACTCTTTGCTCTTTTACACACATTAATCGTAAAGCTTCAAAGCAATCCCAGTAATTTCTTAGACTACCACTTTCATTCTCTAGTAAAACTTTTAATGGATTAATGTTTAAATCTTTAAAAAAGGAACAGTTAATAAACTTTTTACCTTTTATAGAATTTTTTAGTCTGCAAGGACTTAAAATAAAAGCTGTTAAAACTTTATTTTTTGACTCGATAAAACCGTGTGTTCTATAATTGCAGAAATTAAACTTTACAGGAATATTTAATTCATCAATACTAATTTTATTATAATGTATCGATACTTTAAGTTCCTTGAAACCACCAGTAAAAGTTAATACTCGCATTATATTATTTTCACAAGTTACCCCTGTAATATACAAGTTATTAACATTATGGGTAGTAAAATCAAAAACTTGTCCTGCTGAATTTAGTCCAAACAATAACAGAAAACATTGTTTTATAGCTACCAATACTGTATAACTATCTATAGTCATTACAATGATTTTATCAACTCTTCTATCCATTTCTGTAAAAAATGGTGTTTCATGATCTAAGGAAGCTTCATCTTTATCAAGGTTAATAACTTTTATTATAGATATTCTTCCTTCACAGTCTCCTAAACAAAGCGCTCCCCCAAATTCTGAAGTTTTATGCCAATATAAGCAAGATATATGTCTTAATTTTGTAGTATATCTACACAAAAAGTCACACTGGGTTTTTAATTCCCTAGAGTCACAGCTAAAAATTCTCCAAACACTAACATCACCATTGTAATGACCAACAAATATCACAGCACAATTTTTTTCTGTATAACTAAAAGTATGACTCCATTCAAATGTACAGGGGCCAATATATTCTACTCGCTTTCTCACCTCATTCATTTTTTGTATTGGAGGAAGCTTAGCTATGTACCCAAAGTTAGGTCTTTGTTTTTCCACAATCTCACTTGTTAAGTTCAAAATCATTTTATATTCAGATAGGTTGCACTCATTAACCATTTTTACGTAAATTTCCAAACTATGAAGATTTGTTACTATGGCAAGCATACTAGACAAACCATCAACCATTAGTGCTTTGGACCATTGAGCATAGAGAACCGTGGGAGGTGTCGGAGGTACTGCCCCTTTCAGGTTTTGTGTAAGTTCCACGCGAGCACAATTCTCATAAAATACATCTTTGGGCAACTCATGGACAAAAGTATTGATATCAATATCCACATGTCCACATAAAGCGAAGTCGGAAGGCTTGAAGAAAAACTTGTGGGACGAGTAATCAGGATCGGGATGCTTCAAGTTGCATTTTTGTTCTATAACGTAGACACCTAAACTTGATAAAATAAATATTCGGTCGTCCTGGGAAATTCCACATGCGAAATTTCTTTGTAAATTACCGGTAAGCACGAAGGCGGTGAGAGGTTTTAGGTTTGGGCTCATTCTTTTTGAATAACTTGTACTTGTTATTGAATACAGAGTCGAAATAATAGATTCATAAATCTTGCAGTAAACACAAGTCACAGACTTTACTACTCCAGCCCTGCCGCACTGCACAGAGTTGTTGTTGTTTTGAAAAAAATAAGGTTATGAAAACAGTGACAAATGACATGTATAGTACGTGTTCTCTCGCGTTCACTTTTTTGACTTTTGGTTCAAGACAAGAAGGTTTGAAACACAAATAATGTTCATTGAACTGTTTTGAACCAAAAATAAAAAAATGAACTTCAGAAAACAGCTCTAGTTGTTCAGTCCGAATTTTTAGTTTTGAGACCTGAAAAATGCACGGAACGTTTCATGTAGTGCAGAACGCTCCTACATTACTCTAGAGCGCGTCAATAGTGCATCCGGCAGGCCACGCTATGAGCACTCTCGAGTACCTTCGAAGTACTCCGACTACTTATCACCCGTTCGGGTGAACACTGAACAGAGTTGGATGCACTCGAGCTGTTCTCATTTTCCTCGCCCCTTTCTCCGAAGGACTTTCTACATGCGCGAAATTCGCTCTTTTTTTGACATTGCTTCGAAAAGTTGACGTTTTATGCGTCTATCAAACGTCAAATTTTCGAAGCAATCCCAAAAAAGCGCGAATTTCCCGCAAATGAGAATTAAGCTTTAAGCTTTAAGCCTAGTACTCATAACTGCGAAATTCGCATTTTTTTGACATTGCGTTGACAACTTGACGTTTTATGCGTGTATCAAACGTCAAATTGTCGAAGCAATGTCAAAAAAATGCGAATTTCGCAGTTATGAGTACTAGGCTTAACCCATCAACCTTGCAACCCATCTAACTCAATGGCTCAAGAATAATACACACTACTACACAGGAATCACAGGATTGCTAATCGGCCTCGTTTTCCGTAATAGGCTCCTTGCATCAAATTTTTTTATTTCGGATTTCGATAGTCCATGAAAAAAAAGTCAACACGTGTTTTTTCTTTTTCTTGTGAGTCAAAAATTGACGGAGATACAACGCTTTGGAATGTCCTTCCGACGTCATAACTTAGGTATAATACGTTGTGAGTTGTGACGTCGCACATGCTCAGTATATCTATATATATAAAACTCAATATTTGTTATAACTTCCGAAATAATCATATTTGGACAAAATAGAAAAACACGCATCGATTTTTTTTCGATTTCCTACAGTTTGCAATAAACAATAATCAATTTAATTTTACATGCAAGTACCCTATTACGGTCATATACCGCGTGTTGCTAAATTCACCAAAATGGTGCACCGCCACGGATGCGGTGATTAAAATTCAATGCCAATGCCAAACCACAGCTTGTCAAAGTCAAACCCTGTTTAATTTAGGGTGGGTATTATAAAACTGCTTTGACAGTTAACTTGAAGCTAACTTTTTGAATTACATGTAATTCCAGAAGTTAACTTTAAGTTAACTCTCAAAGTAGTTTTATAATACCCGCCCTTAGGGTGGGTATTATAAAACTGCTTTGACAGTTAACTTTTTGAATTAAGCCTAGTCTCCATGGACGCGAAATCGCGAATTTTTTTTTGCGGATTTTTTCCGATTGGTTGGAATTTGACATTTAACATTTGATTTTTTTATGGCGGGAAAAATTCGCGAATTTTTTAACTTCTTGCGGCGTCGCAAAAAAGTTAACTATTTTTTAACTTTCCGCGAAATTTCGCCAAAAAAAAATGAGGTTATGTGGTGTTACTTTCAGTTTAGTTTTGTTTATGTTTTTGTCGGTATGTGCTCTGTTCTCTGTGAGTCGTTGATGTGTTTTGTACTTGTAGATACCTAATAAAGAATGGATACTGCCAAAGAATTGAATATTGTAGACCCGAAAACAGACATAAATTACAGCTTGCTGGTTGATGAGGAAGATTATAATAGGGCCTTAAATGTAATTAAGACATATCTTTTTTTGTTTTTTAGTAATCACTTTCATGGTTTTCAAAGATTAGTGTTTGAAATTCAAAGCATTTAAATCGAATTCAAATTGATTACAAACAACAACACATAGGTAACCTTAACCTGTTAAATAAAACGCGAATTTCGCGCTTATGGAGACATGGGAATAATTTGCTCGGAAATAGCCACCAAAAAATGACACTTAAAAAATTCGCTTTCCGCGATTTCGCGTCTATGGAGACTAGGCTTTACATGTATAAAGCCCAGTACTCATAACTGCGAAATTCGCACTTTTTTGACATTGCTTCGAAAATTTGAAGTTTGATTTGTTAAGAATTTATGTAAGCTTAGTTTCTCATTAGGAGATAGCGCTCTATGTTTTAGATACGATTTTAATAATGTGCAACCTGCTAATATTGCAATGACATAAAATGTGTGTTCTGTCAACTTTGTCAATGTTATTGGTTGCTCTCTTCTATCGTAACCGAATTGTTAATAATAAATACGTTGTTTAAAGTCGTCGAATCTGGGATTTTATTAATATAAAATAACAGGTTATGGGCCCAGCTCACCCAAGAAAGAAATACTAATTTGTGGAAAAGAAGCAAGACTTCAAAAGCAGAAAAATGAATGTGATAACAGTACCTCAGTTGAATGCCGAAAATTTTAACAATTGGAAGTTCAGAGTGGGAGCTTTATTGGAAGAAAAGCAGATAGAAGATACGTTGGAAAAGGTTTTAGACGACTTCACTGGAGATAAAGAAAAATCAGAATTTAAGGTAAGAGATGCAAAGGCCAAATCAATAATAGTACAATGTATAAGCGACAAACACCTTGATATAATAAAAGACTCCAAAACAACAAAAGAAATGTTAAAGGCACTGGAAGATGTATTTCAAAGACGAAGTGTATTTACTAAACTGACACTTAAAAAACGATTACTGATCTTAAAACATAAACGAAACGAAAAGCTAGAAGACCATTTTTATAAATTTGACACGTTAATAAGAGAACTAGAAAGCATTGGATCCAAGGTAGAGGAAGAAGATAAAGTTTGTCATCTTTTATTAACACTTAATGAAGAATTTGATCCAGTAATTACAGCAATCGAGACAATGAATAGTAAAGTAACAATGGACTTTGTGAAGTCTCGCCTACTCGATGAAGAACTGAAGTTTAAAGCAAAACATGGACATAGTGTTACCCAGCTAGAACAATATTTTAAAGCATTTCAATTAACTTGTTTTAAATGTGGTAAAGTTGGACATAAAAAAGCTGATTGTCGGCTGAATTCGAATACAGTTACACGAGGGAATTACAGAGGTCGGAGAAACAGCAGAAGAGGATATTATCAGTCAAATTATCAAAACAATAGGGGTCAAAGCCATGGTCAATTTCAACCAGGTAACGGAACAGGGCTCCAAGCAAATAAGGCAGACGAAATTGCATTCATTGCATTAAGCACTGTAACCTCACCATGTGCAATAAACAGCTTCATCCTGGATTCAGGATGCACTCAACATATGGTAATGGGGGATTTAGAAAAGTACATGTCAGATGTCAAGGATCTAGAATACGAAATTAAAATTGGAACAGCCAAAGAAAAAGAAATTCTGTATGCAAAGAAGAAAGGAACAATTAAGGGAATCTGCCAAAGAAGAGAGATAACAATTGATGCTTTATTAGTTGAAGGTATGTCACACAATCTTATGTCTGTATCTAAATTGCTTAAAAATGATTTTCAAGTTATTTTCAATAATGATATGTCTGGTAATAAGTGTGCCATTTTACTAAAAAATGATTCTAAATTTTATTGTAATTCTCATAATGATTTATTTTATTTAAATATTGATTTTAAAACTGATACTAACATTAATAGACAAAATGAATGTAATAATAATTGTGAAGTTGATATTAAGTTAGGTAATGAGTGTGTTTATACAGCACATGAAAGTCTAGGTAAAGACATATCGCACAGAAGGCTAGGTCATATTAACAGATTTAATTTAAAGAGATTAGGTTTACCGTTTAGTCAGGAAATTTGTAAGAGTTGTATTGAAGCTAAAAGTACCCAAAAACCATTTTATAATAGTCAAAAGAAAACCGTCAAAATTGGTGAATTGATACATTCTGATATCGCAGGTCCTGTAGTAACTCCTACTCCAGAAGGTTATAAATACTTTCAAGTATTGATTGATGATTTTTCTCATTTCTTGGTAGTTAAATTGTTAAAGAATAAAAGTGAAGCTTATCAAAATGTTATTGATTTTGTTCGATTAATTAAAACTCAACACAGTTTAAAAACAAAAAGAATAAGATTAGATAATGGAGGGGAATTTATATCAGATTATTTTAAAAATTTTTGCAGAACTAAGGGTATTCAGCTCGAGTATACGATGCCATATACTCCGCAGGAAAATGGAACATCAGAACGTATGAATCGAACATTGTTAGACAGGGTGAGAACCAAATTTGCAGAAACTAATTTACCCAGAAAACTATGGGGAGAAGCAATACTATGCTCAGCTTATGAATTAAACCGGTCACCAACTGAAGCAAACAATGGTGAAACGCCGGCAAAGACATGATATAACAAGAACGATTTATCAAAGTTAAGAGTATTTGGTAGTCAAGCATGGGCTGTAATTTTACCAAGAAACAATAAACTAGAACGAAGGGCAAAGCCATGTATTATGATAGGATATTGTGGGGCAGGATATCGGTTGTGGAACTATATTGAAAATTTAACTTTTTGCTCAAGAGATGTTAGATTTAATGAAAAAGAAACAAATTATGATAATATTCTAAAGGATGAAAACATTGATAATAAAAGAGAAATGATAGTACCGATTGAAAATGAATTAAAAATAAAAGAAGGAGAAAACGATATTGAAATTGAAGTTTGTGAAGACGAAATCGAACCAGGTGGAAGCGATAGTGAAGAATCCGACAATTTAGAAAAATTAGAAACAAAACTAAGAACAAAGGAAACAAGCACCAGAAGAATAATTAATAAACCAAAATATTTAGACGAGTATGAGGTCTATCAAGCTTACTGTTTAATTTCGATCGAAGAAAGTGATCCAATAGAGTACAAAGATGCTATTAAAAATAAGGAATGGAAAAATGCTGTGGAAAAAGAATTAGATTCATACGCAAAATTAAATACTTGGACAGAATCAAATGTACCAGATGGAAAATCTGCAATACAAACCAAGTGGGTGTTTCGAACAAA